GACTCGTTATTGATTCGTGGGAACACTATTTCGATCCCACCGATCTATCATAATTTGCAAAAAAATGCAATAACACGGATAAATTTATAATAAATTAATAAATACTGAATTAGACGAATAAATAAATTTAAACACCCGACTGTTTTATTATAAGTAGTCACTTTTAAAGATTGAAATTGCTGTGTTTAAATCTATCAAGTCAGATATTAAACAATCGTGTATGAGAGAAAAGCTAAATTAATCTTTGTATTTAATTCCAAAGCAAATTAATTTAACAACGCAATGACATAAATTTATAATACCTAATTCGTATTAAATAAATTTCATTAATTTGATAAATCTTTCATTTTATTTTGAATGTATAAATGTGTCTTAATGCGTTATTTCCTTTCATAGAATTTTAATTAAATATAAGCAATATTCGCGTGTTAAAAATAAGAAAAATAAACAGCATAATGTTATGAAAAAATATGTTTGCATTTAATCAAGAATGCTTTGAAACTCTTATTTAAAGTAACAAGATTTTGCAATAACGATTTTCAGAGCACTTTAAAATTTTCTCTTCGTTTCTTTGTGTTTTTTATAACTTTATATATTTTCAAAAATTTTTAAATATTTTTAGTTCCCTTTAATATTTTTTATACGATCTTTTTCAATTTTTTTTGTGTCCTCTACAAGACAATTGAAATGGAATAATCATCTGTATATTTGCTGGACATGTCTGAGTTGTTCCTGTGCCACGCAAGGCTGCGGAGTTCGATTCGAGGCTGGCTCTGCTTTATGCTTGGCTGACTACCGCTCCTCTATGTCTTTCCTCTGTACAGTGAAGGCAAAGGAGAGGACAGACGTCGCTTCAAGAACGGGGAAACGCGTTCTTGCTTCCATTGCAGTCTGCTTTTTCAGCCGAGCGATACTTCGCTGAAGAATTCAATGAAGAATTACCGCATAATCTTCAACTCCGACGTCCAGTTTCCTTATTTAGCCGTACATTTTTATGAACTTTTATCATCTCGTCTTTATGTCGAGAGATTCGACGTCGTAAGGTTGAGCCCGTTGGAATACCGTGCACTACTTGAAGAGTATGCACTAACGACTTGAAGAAACTGAAGGGTTTGACAATGACAGTTTTGTTCGAAGGAAGTTTGATATACAATGGAAGCAAAGCTGATATGAAAAAATTCATTCAATATATTAAAAAGAGTAAATCATTCTTGATCTGTATTTTATATATAAAATTCATTATTATTTATTTTTATTATAATTATTTGTTATATTTTGCAATGACCGAACGCAAATATCTGCTTATACTTTTCTTTAATGTTCTATTTATTATCCTATTCATAAAAATAGAAATTAAATATTTTCTGTTCGAATTTTATTCATGTAGTATCATGGAAAAATTGAATAATATATTGCATGTTATTTCAACAAACTGTAACTAAAACAAAATGGGAGGAAGCGCTACTTCTAGCAAGTAGAGCAACATCGCCATGTCATGCTACAGAAATGTGAATTTTATTTTCAAACTAGTCACGTGTAAATGGAACTGGGTCGCATTTTATTACTCAACATTTTATACTAGTTTCTAACATAATTTTTTATCTGATTTTTTTATACATAATAAATTACATCAAAGAAATAAATTTTAATTATAAACTTTTAGGGCTAATATTTTTTCTATTTTTTTTTTAAATAATTCAATAAGAGAATCTTCTCAAAATATATATTTTATATAATATCTTATCAAGACAGAGAAGAAGAGAGGAGGGAGAGAAAGCGAGGAAACATCGACTATAATAATTATTTAGAAAAATTAAAAAGTCTCAAAAACATACAGATACACGTGTTGCTTATTTTGTGTATGGCTTCAAAAATTCAAATTTTTTTAAAATTATTATTTAAATACAAATTATATGCGCTTTTTATAATCTTTTTAATTAAATTATAGAAATCTATAATATTTTATATATCAGTAAAATAAATTTTCAATGTAAATATTTTCAAGTTGATTATTTAATGTATTAGTAATATAAGAAAAATATTTTTATGCTCTGAAAAAGATATATATAAATCAGTGTTCTTGAAATGCCACCAAAATTTTACAGTAGGTATATATTTTGAATTAAAAAATTTTATTTAATAAATAAATTCGAAGGAAAAATTAAATTCCGAGAAAAGCGTTTGCAGTGTCTTATCGTTCTATTCCTTTTGTGCAATACTATCGCTTTAACGAAAGTTCCAATAAACGGTGTCGTATCATTGCCCTCGTTCTCGTCCTGGCGCTTTGGATGAACCGAACTGATTAAAGCTTAATTAACCATTTAACAAGTTATATTTAACTCATGGCATTTCTCTTTCTTCGTACTGTACGTGAGAGAAAGAAAAAGACAGGAAAAAAGAAAGAGACCAAATTAAGAAACATCGTCATGTTTGTGACGCGATAAATCGGCAAATAAATCGTAAGTCCTTTATTTATTTTTCTCTGTGTTATCTATTTTCTTCTAAGTGTTTATGGTGGATTATCATGATACTTTATCAATCGCACGCAAAAATAAGAATACAATTTTCTGGCATGAAAATAAGACATGCTGCTTACCTTTTTATTCCATCAATATTTGTATTATTGATAATCTTTTAGCTTTTGCTTATGCTTATAGAAACAAAGATGAAAATAATTTTAGTCGAGATTTGTCTCTGTATTTTATGATTTACTATTGAAAGGGCACTCTGATTCTCTTATCATAATGCCGAGACACGCAGTTTCTTATCAATCGAGCGATAATTGTGCCGTGCTCGCGAACAGGTATAAACGTACAACGTAGATGTAAAAAAATCATATAATTATATAAGTCAAAGAATTGATGTAATTTTATAATAAGTATCTGTAGTTTCAATTATTAGTTTTTAGTTAATTTTTGCGAAATTTTTGAAATTTAATTTAAATATTTTAAGAACAAAGTGCACACAAAAAAATTGCGTATTAAATTTTAAATTATTTTCAACCAAATATTGGAAAATAAATATTTTTATATTATAGGATTAAAGATATAAATATGTATGTACAGGCACATCATATTTTACATTAAAAATGTTTCTTTGCTATACACAGTCAGAATGTATAGTGTTGCAAAAATCGCGAGCTTGGAAGCGCGACGAACATTCAACGAGTTGAATCGAGAGTGAGTCGAGAAAGCGCGATTCATAAAAGCATTAAAGTTTGCGTAACTAAAATGTTTGTCCAGCTAAGCGGAACAAGTAAATTTGCTTGATGAATAAATAAATCAACTAAATTAAAATCAGTGCAAAATTATATTAAAATATATTAATTATATTAAAATATCCAGTGTATTAAAAAATTTGAAAAATATAAATGTTATTTTAAATTTTTTAGATATGCGTATATAATTGTTACATTAAAGATTTGATGTACATGAGAGAAAAGATAACAATAATTGTACTAAAATCTTACATTTTTAAATAAATTATTTAGTTTGTGCGTACACGCATATATGCATATGTGCGTACATGATTTTCGTTTATTAATAAAATTTTTCATTCAAAATTCTACAATTACGTATTTTTATGTCCACGTATGTATAAAAAATTTTAATAATCTATTCACATTTGAATGGAAATTAAATATTTATATTTTTAAATAATTAAGTTAAATGTTAATTTAATAATTCTGGAGAAACCATGAATTATGAATTATTATTGAAAAATTTACTTCGCACAAGATGTCGCAATAAAAGACACATCCAACTTTACATATTGTGAGATAAAACATATGTAAAACAACATAAAATCAAGTTTCCACGCATATTTAAATTATCTTCATTATAATTAAGAAAGATTTAGATAAGTCAAATGAATGCTATATAAGTATATATGTATATTATTAATCTCGTTCTACCTCAAACTACCTGTTAACTCATCGTGATTATTTCGTTCGAATATTATCGATTCATCTAACTGATAATAATGTTTGACATACCTTTGAACGCTTCATATTTTCCGAGAATATTTCTCTGTCATCGGTAGTCGTAGCAGGATTTCCAAAAGTATACATTCAATTAAAAAAAAAAAATGCAAAATGTGTACCAACCTCTTTCCTCGATGACATCCGCTCGGTCGACGTAGAGCATCATGAAGAGCACGTAAATTCCGAAGATCTTGGCCGGCATCATCCTGAGTCCTCGTGGTCCAGCGAGGTCGAGGAAACTCCGGGCACCCTCACAAAAATCGGCGACGCATATCCACTGCACTACCACTGCACATTCGCGACCGCGAATCCTTTAAAACTCTACGTTTTTCTGACGACGACACACGTTAAGTTTCACATTTACACGCTCGCGACGCAACAGTTTCACACCTGAGAACGCGCGAAGGCGCGATGCAAAATCCCGCGCGATTTACTACACGTTTCAAATTTCGCGCGCTTGAAATAATCCTAGTTTCACCTTCGATTTGAACGATACATCCTGGCGAGTTATTCGCGTAGATCCTGGGAGACAACTATATCAAAATGCTTGTCAATTTCAATCTTCCGAGCCTCCGCGGTATATCCGGAACACATGGAGAGCTGTCAACACACGTGGATATTTGTTTTGAAACTGATTCAGCCTCTCCCGGCGATTATTCCGACGAGACAAGGCTTTTCGCCGAAGCACCGTTCTCCGAAAGTTTTCTCCGAATACACTCGCGTTATCAATTAAGACGACGGCGCGAATGTTTTTCGCGACGCAAGATTTACCCGGATAGAAGGACGCGCGAAGTATTGTTCTCGGTCGTCTATACGCGAGCATGAAGTGTTTACAACGCGCGCGCGAACCTCCTCCCACGCCGGTCGTGGTACGAATAAACGTGCGGTAGTCAAAGTGCTGTGCTGCTCCGCCGCTAGTCGGCGCGTGCGCTGCCGAGCGCGCCCGAGTTCGGCCGAAGGTCGCCGAGGCTCGACGGCGCGACGTCAGAGTCATTTGTAAATAAACGCGGGTCGCGCGCGTTATTGCGTCTCGGGATAAATAAAGCTTTATTATTGTGAATGTGATTATATATCGGTGATTATATGCCGATTCTTTCGCACACCGATGAGACGAGAGTAGGTAGATCCGGTAAGTGGAATCTCTCACATAATTTCAATGCTCTTTTGTGTCGAATTTGCGATTGATGTGCGCCGAATACGCATACGTTGGTTATGGCGAATTCAAATGCGGCATACTTCAGGATGCAAATTTCGTATAATGCATTTATCAGATTCGGGAGATAAACAGCAAAATAAGTTGATATAAATGCGAACGCATGACTATTCTTTGCAGATAGGGAGATTTATTTGAGGTGTGACGATATATGTTATCATCAATTGTTGAATAATCTTTCTCTCTCTTTCTTACTCCCTCTCTCTCTCTCTCTGTAGTTTTTCTAAATTAAATATATAAATATTGACAAAAATAGTTTATGATTTTGTTCTCTTTACAGTAAAAATGCAAAAGAATATGGGCCCCGTGCGAATGCAATAGTGATAGTGCATAACGGATGTGCATCATCGACTTTCTGGAGCACCAGAACTCAAAATGCCGATGCAGATTCTTGAAATTTTCATCCTCTTTATGGTAATGTACGCCAATCGATCGACGAAAAGGTTTGTACTTACATTTTGCTTTGGAAAATGTTTGAAATAAATGATAAATCTTTGTCTCAAATATTTTATTAATGTGGCATCATAATTTTAATTAATTACGATAAAATTTTTACTAAACAATTTTTAGTAGAATTTTTATAATTCTATATATAATTTTTGCAGCGCTTTATATATTAATCAGTAAATATATGAAAGTTGTTAGAAGTTAACAATTAAGGTAATATGCATAAAACAAAAACAGAAAAAGTACGCGGAAGATATTTTTCTTTCGAACGGATGTGCGTGTACAACCTTGTCGATTCCACGAAGACTTTATAGTCGTTTTATCGTTGCAAAAATTGTGGAGAAGACTGGTTTCTTGTCGCAAATGCACGCACGTACGAAGTATATGTGCGATCGTGTCCTGAGGAAAACCGTAAAAGAGAACGAATAAAGAATAAACTATATAAATGTCTCATTATATATTTAGTTTTTTAATTTGCAAAAGTTTCTTGTTACAATATTTTTAAATTTTTGATCTGATTCTGAAGAATCTTTCTCTTAAATATTTCTAGACTTCTATTATTTATTATAGTAAAAGCATTGTTATGCTTTAAATAAAACAATCATAATTGCATTTGAACATTGCATTTTGTGATGTCTAATTTATTAAATTGTGTATGCAATTTTTCAAATCGCTATTTTCAATTAAATTAGTACAATATTTATATTTTTTAAAGATCGATTTCTTACGTAAAAAGAAATCAAAGTATTCTATTTTATAATATTTTTCATGTAATTTGTTCTTTATTATGATTTTATAAATTATCGCTTATCTATCATCATTTTTTGGGGAAAAAATTGCTGTCCTTTGAATACCATATAGATTATTTTATATCTATATAGATTATTATAAGTGCGCAATGTTTTCTCGATAACAAATGATCTGCTATGAACTATTGCATTGAAAAAAAATTTGTTAACTTGACTGAACCTTTCAACTAAATATTATTTTGTTAATTGGACATATAAAAATATTTAAATTAAATATAACATCAAATCTAAATTTTGTATATATTTGACTTAAATACTAATATATATTTAATTAACAAAATAGTAATTTAGTTGAAAGGTTTAATCAAGTTAACAAATTTTTTTTTCAGTGTATAATCTATCAAAGCATACAAGCAGATTTATTATACTGCATTTATCGTGCAATATAATTGAAACTTAAGTCACATGCTTCTAATAAATCTATCGAGTTTTCTGTATATGTACGTTAAAATAATCAAGCAGATAAATTAAATGTTTCACACATGTGTATCTTCCATCATTAAGATGATTGATTAACTGACTTTGTTCAGAATTGCGCATCATTGATTAAAATAATGTGCATGTCATGAATATGTGTTCATTTTTGATGAAAATAATGGTGAAAAATCAAAAAGTCATTATTTTAATAATTTTATCGACAGCAAGATATTTTAATTAACAGGATTTTCTCCGAATTTTAACAAAGTGCCGTCACATGTGTTTTTAGAGTTAATAATGATAGAGTTAATTACGGGTCTTCATAAAAATGCAGATGGCTTTATCATGCTCCTGCTATTCATTTCTTTTCCTTCTTTTTCAAAACGTTACTTACCTCGAAGCGACTGTTCCCAAACAGGATCCGGAAAGTACGACCAGCATATTATTTACTTTCTTTCTCGCTCTCGGATTTTCTCCACATATGTAACGTGTGAATTTCGTAATAAATTTTATATATAAAAATGACAGACATGTAATAATTTGTTATAAAAAAAACAAATAATTTGTTATAAAAAGTTCGTTGAAATATCTTGCATCTTAATAAATAACATTTCGAACGAAATATATTTCTTCTCCCAACTACTTTTGACAAAATATATCATGCTTTACATCATAAAAAATATAATTAAAACCAGTAAAGAATTTTTAAAAAGATACAACAGTATTAATTAATTTTTCTTTGAAACGTTCTTATACGTAATTTAAAAATATTTGCCAATCAATTTTAACAGTTATTTAATTTTACTTTTTTTTTTTCTAATTTTTACATGTTAAAATGTTTATTTGAATATTTAATTTAAATTCAATAATTTCAAGATCTCAATAAATATTTAAATTCCACAAATTAGAGGAAACGGACTAATTCAAAGTCTGATACGTAAATTAAACGCAAATTCTTTTTCTTTTTAATATGATTTATTAATTACTAATATTCGAACGCGTTTCGTTCTCATATTTAGCTATCAGCAACTGTCAAAGAATACATGAAAGCGTGCCTTATAAAAACATAAAATATAATACAATAAAATTAAGTAAAAAAAAATGTATACATCTGCAGTAATTTTCAGTAACTTGTACAATGGACAAGTGTATGAAGCCTCCCTAAAGTTTAAATCTGGCGCGCGATTATCATTATCTCAACGTATAAAAAGAAATGTTAGTAGATCTTGTTCTGTACTATGTAAATGTCATGCGTAATGACATCATCATTGTAACTGACAGTTTGCATTCCAATTCATATGGCTCGTGGTGTCTTGAGATGGCATATGGTAAGTAGCTGATTTATGATTTCGGTTTTATGTTTTCTCTTTGCCGTTACATCTCGTTTTCTCTAGCTTACGCGATAATCTATCAAACGTGTAGACATTCTATAATGCTTCCGAATAATCAGAACCATGTTTTTCATTTTTTAACATTTGAAAGCGCAGAAACTTGTCTGTTGTAGAGGTTACTAAAGGTCACAGAAGATGTATGCACGTTTTCATTTTATAGACATACCTATGTATTGTATATTATATATGATTTCTTTTATCATTTTATAGTTTATGCTTGATCTTTTATATATTTTTTAATAGTGACTAATGATGGTCCAAATATAATACCAAAACATAGGAATATCAACAATTAATAAATTACAGAACTTACGCTTTATTTCCTGCGTCTGACTCTTAATTAATTCATTTATTTTTACTTGTAGATATTTAATATCAAAGCATTCAAAAATTGTGTTTCTAAAGAAGATGTGCATGTAATATTTTAAATCTTTATAAAATTGAATTCCGTAATTTTTACTATTGACATAAAATACCAAATAACGAAGCAGATGGAATAAAAGGTAAGAAGTGTTAAACAATTTTATTATTTTTTTCTTTCTTTATTATAAATAACAAGATGCATATTCGGTGCACACGTGTCATTTAACTCTTGTATAATATATTTATATGTATATATATATATATATTTATATGTTACTCAAGCTCCAGAGCTAATTTTATTTCGCTTACTGTATAGTATGTCTCATTTATATCGAGTTGACATTAATACACCTCGCTACAATCTGTTTCGCGATGCCACGTGGAAAATTAGAAATTTCATTCGAGGATGTGTGAACTTTGCGCGTTAGGCGGCGAAGGAAAACCGTGTGTTATCTTCGCGCGAGGTAGAAGTGGATGTTGAAAATCGATCTCTCTCTCTGCTCTTTCGATCGTGCGGGATAATTTCGAGGCCAACGGCATTTTACCGCGTTTTCTTCCAAGTGATATTCTTTGACATTAATGCGCCAATTAAAATGCAGATACAAATTCGGATGGGTCCTTTTGTCGTTGAAAAATTGTTTAAAAATTTATTGTACTGATATGCGCCTGTCTCTCACGAATAACTTTGACGAATACGAGGATTAAAATCGTGAATTAAGATCGATCGGTTGACGAACAATTTTATGATATCGCTTATTATGAGCTCGGCCGATATGTCTAATTAAATTCAATTCATTACATTCGATGTACAGAGATTCAACAAATTCGTTGTCTTGAGCGTCGAGATAGTTCGTGACACATGTCTGTAGAGGAATTTCTCTATCTGGAAACGAATTAACGGCGGAGCGTCCTTAAAAGCTACGTTATATATCCATATAGCGTCCGCATTAGCAACGTTTAATGCGTGCGTTACTTATTTTGTATCGAGCTCCGCAATTCTAATACTATGCTTTCGACTATCATTGCCTCAATTTGTAATCTAAATAACGCGACGTATGTGTGTGTTATAGATTACATATATGTATAATACCTATTATAAATTCTCTTTTATATGAAACGATTAAACCTTCTGCCCCTCGAGATGCTTGCTGTTTTGACTTCCTTCGTCGTTCTCGCGCATTTTTTTTTTATCATATTATATATTATTTGCCGCGAAATAAAAAAAAATGTAACTCACTCTGTTTTGATATGCACATTTATACGTCAATGATGTCTATGAATGTTTTAAATTGTGTAAATTTTTAAACATTTTTATAGAGAATCTATTTGACGTAATATTGTATGTATAAAAACAGATTTAATTTATCATTATTTTATAAGATTGATTTTTATCCTCAAATTCCTTGTCGTTAATTCTTTTTCTTGATTTAAAATATATTCGGGATAGTTTGTCGATTACTTTCAATTAAATCAATCTTTGAAAAGTTGAATTAGAAAAAGATATGACGATTGCCGATTATCGCATCGTGAACGTGATGTTTTGAAATAAGACGCGCGAAAAATGAGGAATTTCGGGGAATACGTTAGAATTATATATATAGAAAATTAAAGGCGATCAAACTTTCGAAAGCTATGTATGACATCTTATAACAGGCACGTCTTTTTATATCACGCTACAGGTTCAAGCAAGCTTGATAAAGATACCGAACTTGACGCTTTCTTATTTCTTATTACAACTAATTACGTATTCCCTTCTCTTTTTACAATTATTTTAAACATATGCATTTATACACATGCGTTCTTTCTTCCTCATATATGGGCAGTCTCTTTTTTTATTAATTAAAAAAAGGTGCAAACGGTGCATAGACGCAAATAAACGAACAATATCTCATCCAGTCTAAGAAGATAATAATTTTGTGTAAATTATATATATATATATATATAGATATATTTTTTTTGAAATTAATATCTGCAATAGAAACACTAAATCTTGTATGACGAAGTTGCCATCTTTTATAGAGATTGTCGACTTTTATTTTAGACTCTATCGATTTCTCTATATTAAACTCAGAAGAAATATAAGCAATTTTATCGAGAATATCTGTGTGACCCGTCTAGTAATATCATTCTTATTCTGTAATATAGTACCTATTTTTAGCCTTATTTCAAAATCTAAAATAATTGTAATTAAATTTATTTATGTATAGAAAAAGCAAAAAGAAATATTGCAAATGGCTCAAGATTGGCTGATATTTTACAATTACAAATCATATTAATGTGTGAATAGATAAAGCGCATATACTGTTTAAATAATTTTCTAAAAATTTTAAAAAATAATTATATATATATATATATATATATATATATATATATTATTAGCAAAACAAGGCCTTTTCGCGAATTGGCTTTTGATGTACGGAGAGCAGATTTGTTTCTATTACTTTAATTCGCAATCTGGGAGTTATTGTAATTCTTTAACATTATATGCACGGTAGATATAGGCGGAATTTATTTGATGTTATTTCGTTAAGAAGCTATGTACAACTTGTTAAAAGTTGCTGCCAGTTTATCACACTTAATATAATTGTCTCTTGTCATAAACACGAAAAGCGAAAGTGCGCGTTTCTCTATACTGTCTTACTGTCATACATTGCGACATTTTGCGATATTATTTAATACTTTTTCGACTCATTCAAAATGCATCGTTTTCTTGAAATTTAACACCATCATACGAGTTTTCTTCGCATCTTACGTCAAGGGAAATATTATTTTTTTACGATTGTAGTAAACTCTTTTAGTCATATAATTACGTATTTAGTTTACTTTTTTTTCGAAAGTTTTCGCGATTCTGTTTTTGTTTTAATATATATAATATAAAATATCTATAAAAAAGAATATTTCTTAACTTAAAAAAGAGTTAAAAAGAAACATTTTTTTCATTTTAGTAAAGTATTATGAATCCGCTAAAACAGTTGCGAAACATAATTTTATGCGATAAGAAAAATTAACGATGTTAAAAAGTTGTTCTGCACCCGTTCATTAAATATCTGAAAAATTCAACGTGTGTATCCGATCACATACAACGATAACATTATCTTCTCATTTATTCTTATTCGATATAATCAATACTCCTAACAACATCGCATGCCGAGCACAAGTATAATATTGATAAAACATCTAAATGTCTCTTAAATATAGTAAATCCTTTCGTTAAAGCTCTTAACTTATAATTATTTAGAATTAAACATTTATTACGAGCGCGTATGGTCGACCCGGCGTAAATCGCAATTAAAATTAATATATCGTGCCGACGTAAAGCTCCGAAAAGAGGAAAAGCTCCAAATTAGCGATTAGTACCGCGAAGGATCGTTGCCCGACGAAACCTTTCTAAGTTATCAGTTGCATTTTCAAATTATGCTCATTTGCGTAACTAAAATCAATGGTGATGGTGAAATTCGGTGATTAATGTTTAACAAACAACTGCCTCCGATATCGGATTCTCCGTGATGTGTATAGTCGCGGTAGGCCAGTCGAATTTCTTGCTGCAAACGTGATTCAGTCCTTCTAACGAAGCCAATCGGTAATCGGCCATTTTTAACGGAGACAGCGGGGCCACTGTAAAAGAAAATAAGAGAAAGATAATATCCTCGACTTCGTATTTTCGTTGTTAATTTCGCCTTGAAGAGGTTGTAACGCGCAAGTAATTCCGTTCGTTCAAATTTTGTCACATAGAAAATCGCCGAACGCAGAATTTAAATCAAAGAAAGCGTACATGCAAAATAAAAAAAGGAGAATCAGATGTATTGTCAGTGGATTGTTGTGTGTATATAGCGAGACATTGTGAATATAGCATGAATTGTTCACTATTCTATATATTGCCCAGGTGCGAGATTGCTCTGTTTTGCCTTTCAGTTTTTTTTTTTTTAAACAAATTTATTTAAAAAATGCTCTAATATGAATGTGTGCTGTTGTAATAAATGAGTTGGTTTTCTCTCTTCTTTTTTTTTTTTATTTACGTAAAGTGAATACTTTAATTTGGATCACCTGTATCACAGAGTGTAGCGCAACAGGTCGGTCCCTGTTAATATTGTAAATCGTATAGTACGTCGACTATCGAGGACTATAAAACAGAAGAATTCAGTCGACAAGACCAATTCAGTATAAATTATTTCACCGGGCATTGACAATATTCGTTTTCGTCTGAAATTCTTTAAATCATTGAAAAATTTATGTGAATGTTTACACAAAAGAAAATAAGTACAGAAAATCGTATAGATGCGAAATAAACGTGGGGGAATAAATTAACATTTATATATGTCAATATATACACAAAACTTTAACAAGGCGATTATAAATTCTCTCCATTCTTATCATCGCCAACGTCGACAAGATCAGTGCAATGTTAGGAGAATTAGAGTGGTTAGTTGAAGTTAGTTTTTCTCGAGAATCTCCGGGGTCCAAGGTAGCCCAGGATGTATCATTTTCTCAGTTAGTATCTCTCATACCTTCCGAAAAAAGTTTAAATTCCGACTTACTTAACATATAGACGTGGCCTAATTGACCAACTGCGCGCTCGACTCTCCTTGCGGCCTTCAATTCCTAATTACAATTACCTTCGGATGTTGTCGGCTTCACGGGCTTCCGCGGGGATCTCACCACTAAAACGTATAAAATAAGATTCTTTTTAAAAGTCATGAACATTGTTGAATTCTAACATCGTTACATTGCGCACTGAACTCGCAATTACTACCTTTGAAGCATTTCTAGTGCGCAAGATTGACAAACCAATTGTCTTTTTCTAATTTACGAGTGGAATATAGCAAAAACTAACAGTGCAACAATTTATTTATTTAAATATTGCTGCAAAATTGTATTTGCTGTAATATGCAAAATCTAATTGAAAATGTTTATTGTCTCCCGACTCAGATGCATATATTAATGTTGAATAAAATCGATAATTATATAATTTTTGCAATTTGCAAATAATCTAGCTCTAACTAATAAATTAATTAGTTTAATTTTTTTTTTATTTAAACCAATTTTCGAGAAGCATTTATAATTTAAATATTATTATCTCTTCGTCATCTCGTAAATTATTTTGAATTATGTATAATGTTTAAAATTAAATATTTGATAATGCACAAAATAAATCTGAGTCGTTTTTAGACAATAACCAAATGAGGACTACCATACTTAATTTTTATTATAATACGACAGCTTATTCTATAAGCGTATTATCTTAAATGTAAACCTTAGCATTTAAAATTATTCAAAAAAGAACAAAAAAAAAAGAAATAGCAAATAAGCGGAGACTAATTACTAATCACGCTACTTTCAACTGAGAGAAATTGTTGTAAATATATACGTACCACTCGATCGATCCGAGACGCGTGGGAAATAAAGGCGCAAGTCGATGAACATGTATATAATACTTTTCTTTCTTAATTTGCCTTATTTCTTTTTTTTTCTAACAGTTTAAGAATATGTTAACGAAATTCACGAAGACGAATTTAATGCAACCCTTTTTTTATTTTTTATTTATCAAGTCGAGCCAGTGGCTTTTCAACGAATAGAGGTACATATTCGAACACGTATTTGAACCTCGGTGTAATCAGGTAGTTTCCACTATTCGTTTTTAGCACACAATTAAAGCAGTTTATTTGTCAAGTTTATCATAGATAGTTTAGCATTGTGATAATTGAAAACACACAATATTAGGACCCTGTTACACCACAATTCAATTACGTAAATATTACGCCACTTGTACAACATGGGAATTCTACTTGTATAATAGCGACGATTTGCAATAACAATAGTTAACAATGATGACGATGAAACAACAGATTTATTCAACGCGACAACTTGAATGTCATTCGCAATTATCCGCTATATAAATTACTATAACTTTGTACTGATCAGTTAAAGAGGACTAAAAGCAAAGATATGACATAGAATTAATTGAAAATTTGTATAATCAGATCTTAAAATACATACTTTATATTAGTATCGATTTGTGAGAAAGCATAGTGTTCTGTGATTGGTTCTATAGTGTTCTTGTGATTAAAAAGCTAAACAAAATGACAATTGAAAAGAGCATTATTCAATTATTAAATTACGCGTAAATTTACGATTTTAGTATTTATATAAATATATAAGCACAATATATTTTGTGTGTATTCTATAGCAGAAGAGTACATTCTTTAACTTAAAACATGTGTACAATGTTATAAAAAAAAATCGAGATCTTAAAATTCTAAGACATTAACTTGTAACAGCAACTATTTTATAAAGAGTTTCGATTTAATAGATTTACTTAGAGAAAACATGTACTTAGATATTATGTGCACGAATTAATTTTTCTTAATATTTTTAAAGATTAAATTATATAAACAATTTAATTAATTTATAAGCATAATTTTGTTGTTTAAATTGATATTAAAATTAAGATCGTAATTTAATTGATAAGAATATTTGACGTTTGAATTATTTATACAGTATCTATTATCGAAAGAAAGTCAATTCAAAAGTACTTATCTAAAGAATATTGAAGTATATAAAGTATTTGCAAAGTAGGCCAATTATTTTTAATGGATAATGACAGAATGCAGCAGTCGATAAGAGCGAACTTAATGTTAGAAATGATTGCATAATCGAAATTTCTCATTTTTTTTCCATTTCGACATTTAGTCATGCGAAAGATGACGTGACCACCTGCAAAGTCTTGGAAGTTTATCCTTTTTTCAAGCATAATTATTTACAATCATTTGTGAACAAATTGGCCGCGATTCTTTCTTTTTCCGTCTCACATTACGTCTATATCATTGATTACGAAAAAATATACTTTCTATATTCATTTCTACCGAAACATTTCTTCTTGAGTCACTTACCGACACAAATATTTTAGCTGGTTGGCAGTAATTACTGACACTTCACACTTCCGCTTGCAAGCGATCACGAGATATATTTTCTTATGAAACTCGACGACGCGTGCGCGAATTGCTTATATCAATAAAGATCAATGAAAATTGTCGTTTGCTAGTTTGGTGATTAATTTCGGAAATATAGTTCGCGCGAAAACGCTCACTTACCATATCCTTCGCCTTGAAGAAACAGTCGGAACGCCTCGCTGACTTTACCCGGTTGTTCTTCCAATACCATACCGCAATCCGAAATCTAAAAAAACAAGATGCAATCGATTATCTCTCGATCATTCGCAGGCTAAACATTAATCTGAATTGAAGACGTCTTTGTTGCTATTAAATTTTAGACTTTATCGTTCATAGTTATACTTGTGGAATTTAGTAAAGGTTCTTTATCTATCTCATGTGCCAGATAATAATTACGAAATTGCTACGTGCTTCTCTTATGTTAAATATTTATTCATCACAGATCCCGTCTGCGCAACGAAATAATTTAATCCATAAAAGATACATACTTGCTATCATACGTTTAATGAAATTCTAATGAGGAAGCTTACCTTCATCCAAGAGCTATTTGTTGGATCCAAACGTCCGTTTAACGTTACGGTGTCGTCGACGTGAGGGCTTAGAGCACCCGTGATATTGATCACTGGCACACTAAGCGTCAATCCTTCCTTCTTACGCGTTGGATCCAACTCCCTCGTTATATTCAAATCCGTGCGACGAACATAACTGTCGATAAACAATGCGAGATTCGTTGGGTTTACACGACGCTCGAAGTAGTTCTTATACACTTGAACTAAATCATGATTCCGCTCTTCGGTCCCCTGCAAAATTATATCGATCATATTTATATATGTATATAATTATATATATATAGGTAAAATATACATAAAAATAAATTGAAGTTACGATATTATTATGATATATTTTTAAAATATCTTTTTTTTTTATCAATTGAGAAACATTATTTACTCAAAAAATAATTGATAAAAATTCTAAAAGTTTCTTTTCCTTTATAGTTAACACAAACAAATTATTACAAATAATTTCTCTGTTAATTTACAGTAAGAAATTTGTTTCTTTCAAAATATCAATTTATAAATATTTAAAAAGACATTTCTCTTCGTATATTTTAACTTTTTTGACATTTGAATCTTTTTATCGGTTTTATATTTTGCATAACCGGTTAATATTGTTTATCAAATAATAAAAATTCAAATTTTTGCTGTATAAAATAAATCGCATCGATTACACGTGTCGCAAATTTGTTAATAATATATGCAATCGCCATTATATATTCAACTCCCTAATGACATTAATGATAATTCTTTTATCCTTACGCCATCAGCCGGCATTACATTAATCATACGATTGCATGCGAGTTTGTAATCAAAGTAACCCATCTTTTTACCTCCCATATTACCTACATCTGCCGATCGACTGATTTCGAAGGATCGAAGAGCGCATTATGCGCTCACGATCCGGTTTCTTCGAGACGCAGTATAGGCAAAAACAACTGACAGAACCTATCATTAGTGGGATGAAAATGGAACAAAATGATAGAGTATGCAGGAAACAGCGCGACATACAGCCAGTTTTGAAACTTATGTTCTCGTGTGCTTTCGAATAATGTTGGCCAAGTTTCATAATAATCCGGCTAATATACGCTTTATTAAACTTCGAAACTTTTATCTTTTGAATCACGCGCTAAAGGTCGTTTTTGTATTAATTCAATTAGTATCTTTCTTAATTAATTAAAATTTTAAGCACAATTAAAACATAATTTTTGAAGTATACGATTCAAACGTATTTCTTGCAAAAAGGCGATATATTTTATTATTTTTATATTTGCTTCTTCAAAGGTTAGAGGTCATTTTTGAACGCAGTAATCTTCTCACGTTGTATAATAGCGAGGAACTGTCAGTTTAATCTCTAGTTTCCATGGAGATCGAGCCTTTGGAAGCTTAAGCTTCATCGTCGATAATTCATCTTGCGCTCGCGCATGAACGCTAACTGGGTTGACATTATTTTGCGCCTCATAAGAGCCTGGCCGGTTTATTAGTCATAGAATTTAGACAATTAAAATTCTCATGAAAGAATTTAGAAGAGAATTTATACGCAAGGTGTTTAAATTATCCGCGATTATACTATTGATGTTTATATTAATCAAATATTAATTAGAATTGGATATTAGTGCCACAAAATATTTCATATATAATGACAAATGTGTAGTATAAATTGAAAATATAAATTCAAATATAAATTACAGTTGAAAATAATTTTATTAACTTTTACTCATTATTTTGTGTTGAATATATATAAAAATATCGCGAGATCTGTGATTACGAAGATTACGAATTTAAATATAAGTCAACTCTAAGTCTACGTTAAATTTGAGATACATAAATTTATTAAAAAATTATTGATAAAATTATTAATATTAATTATATATCAAATTATCTTAACATTGTAAAATTATAATTTCAATTTATAATATTATAAGTTCAATATTAAGATAATTGAAGTCTTTTATGAAATGAAATTTTTGCAATTGCAATATTGTTTACTGTTAAACCGTAATCTAGAATCATTGAAAATTTCAAACAATATCATAATCTTACCCTGCCAAAATGATGCCACATTAGATAATCGAGAACACCCTGCGTCATACCCTGCGATCTTAGGTGGCGTACGTTCAATTTTTGATAGCCCCATTCAATCCATCCTGCTTGCGTAGATACACAGTTGATCAGGCATAGTGCATTTACTTTCTCCGGATGAGCGAGTGCAAATCTTGACAGAATATTAGCGCCGGCACCGACTCCGAAACCAATTACGGATTTTATGCCAAAATGACCGAGAACGAAGAGCAGCTGTTCTGCTAGCTCTTCCATGGACGGATAAGTGTAACTGAAATATATAAAGAGTTCTGCTTTGAAAAAAATTATTCGTAATGTTTCACTTTGATAGTGTTACATAGCTCTTATAAATTCATGTCTAAGTGATGTCTAGCAGCTAATTAACTACCTAAATTCCAAATTTAACTTTTGCAAAGAAACATCATTAACAATAATGAATAAATTATTGAGTGTTGACAAATCTTTATGGTATTTAATATACTTTCCATGTTATATATTTGTTACTCATTAAAAGTTACAAATAAACCAGGAGACTTTTAAAGCTTTATTTTATTTTTACATTTTCTATAAATATGCAGAAATTGTAAAAAATTATTATTACATATTATGATAAATTGCATTCACTGGAGATTTAAATAACAAATTTTAAAAGAAAATTTAATATTTATTTTGCTTTGATATTAATCATGTAATGTATTGTAATGTATTGTAATGAATTTTGCATAATATTCTTTTATTATTGATAATATCTATTTTTGCGAATAAATTCAATTTCCATTTATTAATATTATACATAACTAAAAAATTGACATAACATATTATTAATCAATAATTTTATAAAACAAATAAGTTTTCTATAAACAAAATGATCGATAATTGATATATCGACATTTAAAACTATTTTGCATCCTTTAAAGAGATTTGGCACGCGAACAAAACCAATTGACAAAACTTCCGCATGCAAATCTGCATTGCGGTTTAAATTATTTTATAACTCAATGTTTAGTTAAGTGTCTCTTTGAGATAAATCTCGATTTAGAATCAATTTAATCAATTGTATTTAAAAGAAATCATTTTTTAATCCAGTAATGTTAGCTATCTATAGTTTACTTTTATAAATCATTATTCATAATCTTAAAAGTTATAAATCTCTAATTAAACAAATCGATGTAATGATTGATATTATGTATTTGTGGTATTACAATTATAAATAATTATAATTTTTATTATTTTATTTAAATTCTAAATATATTAATTTGATAAATATTTTGAATAACTGAAATAATAAATTATAATTATTTATAATCATAATATCAATAATTACATAAATTTGTTTAAAGATTTATAACTTTTAAAATTATAAATAATAATTTATATATAATATGATTGCAAAAAATTAGTATCATGACTTGTCAAGCTATAACACATATCTTAATTTTACCGATTATATCTTGGTTTTATTTGAAATAACTTAGCACGAAGAGTTACGTAACAATCGATAAGTTCGAACTCGTATAAATGTACAGATATTGATATTATGATAAAGTAAAAGCACATTTATATGACAGAATATACATGCAAAATGATAAAATTATGAAAATTATACAATATATGATCAATTATTTGTAAATCATGAAAAGAAAAGAATGAGTTTTGAGTTCGAAAGAAAATTTAGTTTGAGGGAAAATTATTTTATCAAATTGTAGATTTCTGCTGAGTTATAGTACAAGTTATAAACAAGCTGTCAATGAAATTGGACTTAGATTGATTGAGATATTAATTAGGTCAATGATTTTCGTGAAATGATTTGTTGTAAACTGACGCACGTAAATTTAGAAAAGGTTTAATGTATATGCATCAAAAGTTCTCTAATTATTAATTAACGTCTTTAACAATTTTTTCATAAAAAAAGGAAGAATCCTTTCTTTAATTGTTACTTGATGAAAATTAAAAATTTTTTTTGATTACTAGCGCTGATTGTAGACGTCTCTCGCATATAGATATTTTGTTTCAAAAAATCGATAAAATAAAATAAAATAACTGTAATTCTTTTCTTTTATATATTTATTATTTAAAAAATTAACTCACTCTTCGGCTAGCGTAGGCGCACCTTCCTCTTGTCCGGGTGCGTTTACATGATACACGCAAAAGTTTTCGAGTAAAACACGCATATCAATGTAATTGAAGAATGCCTGGAAGCTCGAGATGTCTGAAAGAATTATTTTCATATGAAAAATGCATATTTTATATGTATATAGGTATATATTTTAGAGAGAGTATCATAATAAAATAAAAGTTATAATTTAAAGAAATATTATGACTAGGATTAAAATATTTTGCGGAGCTCTATATTACTTTATTTGAATTAAAATTGCTCACAGTTAAGGCCTAGATCGTGATAAGTGAGGATAGCTGGTTTTGCTCGATTTCCTTGCACCGCTATTAGCAAACTTCCTTTATCGGTTTCCACTCTTTCTTCTCGTACAGAACCGTCATCTCTGGAGAGATATCTCAGTGCCGGAAATTGCAACTGAATGTTCTTCAGCTCGATGTCATCCATGCTATCGGAAGGCATCGTGCTGCACATAAAAAGAAATCATTTAATTATTGGCATCGGGATATAAGAAAGCATGAAAAAACGATTCAATATTCATAACGTGAATGCCACTTGGACGATTGCGGCAATCTAAAAATTTCCGAGGAAATTTGACGCTGATAAGGTTTCTTTTCATATTGAATAAAGTTATAACTAACTAGTTAAATTTAGATATAAAATACCTCTCATCTTTTCCTCTATTTTCAAGTTGAATATCCTTGTCTGTCGGAAAAGCTAAATAATTCAAGCTCTACGTTCAACATATAATATTAGTAGAAAAAATACATATATATCTACTTACAGATGCATTTTTAGATCTATACCTGCTAATGTAGCACTTTTATATGAAACAGTTCATAATATATTTTTCAAATAATATTTTAATCTGATTAAATGCATAAAGTTTTTTTTTGGTTACATCATTATCGCATGATATAATATACTTTAATACAAGTTATAATTGAAACAGAGGGTGTGCATTTCGACGTGTAGAAAATGTATTTTTCCAATTTCATTTACAAGAAGTCAATTAAAAAAATGAAGTGCAAAATAATTACTTTGCACAGTGAAATAATTACTTTTATAGATTCAAACTAGTATAGTAATTTTTATTCCACAAGTTATTTTATCCTTTTTTCAAATATGTGTAGATGAGAAAATAATATTTTTTAATAATAAGTGAACGTCTAAACTTTTCCGCTAAACAATATCTCTAATGTTTATTATACCTGTTTCCGAAGTTAACGGCTGGCTTTAACATGCTTTACGATGCAAAGCGAGCAGCTTGTTTAAAGTTCATCCAAGTTATTACTAAGTAAGCCAATTGTTGCCGTTTTATATAATAGATCGCAATTGTTTATTGTTGAGTCAGTTTTCATTGTGTGTTATTGCAGAAAAAAGTAATAGATATAGACAAATAGATGAAATGGTGCTTTATTGACCGCAGTCTATTAAGTCTCCTTGACCAACGACCACGTCTCCATTTTCATCGATAAATAAGAGTTACAGGGGTTGACTGAAAGCGATAAATTTGTTTTTGTGGCAATAATTGCATTGCGTTAGAGAAAAAGCTGTAATGTTTTATACATTAAGTTTGTTTCATCTGGCTAACAATAATTATCATGTTTATAAAAACAATATTTAAAAATTTTTTTTCTGCAAATGCTTTTAAAATATTTTAATAAAATTGTTTCTAGTATATTTAATAATTATTTTATTCGTAATAAAACATATAAAAGTGCAATTGGCAATATTATTTTATTTAGAAGAGATAATTGTACAAAGTTTGTCAATTTTTTATTTCGTCACAAGTTTTTGTGTCAATTATATCAAGACAGATGCATTCTTGAATGAGAACGCAGTGTCTTTACGAAGAAAATAAGTTTCTTTATACGATATGCATGCAAAATGTCAGTCAAGATGTCAAACATGACTTATATCCATTTGTGTATCATATCCGGCAGTCGAAATAAATGATTGAACGATTTCTTAAAATTGTTCTCGTTAGTCGGTATATCACATGCTTTAATTATAATACGCAGATCTTTATGCATATACGTAGATACTTATTATTATTACGGCAATTAACTTTGCGACAGACCTGAGTTAATTAAACTTCTGATCCGGTGACTCGGAAAATTAGTGGAAATGTGTTTGCTTGGCTGGCAAGGTAGTTAAAAAGTATATCCTCGGTTCAGGATTTAAACGCTATTTCAAGCTATCTCACTGCACGCGCAATTTATTCCTAAATTGGCAATAACAGTGTTATGATGGAGCTTTAAAGTACTAAATTTACAACGTTTATCAGGCTAAAATTCTGCGCACTTTTTCAACGAATACGCAAGGTTACTATTATATACGCGTGATTAATTAGTTATCAACTATATTATTACAGATAGTCATTATCAGCTAATCAGTACCTACATAAATCATAATCTAAATGTCGAATTTTATTCTAATACATTTGCTTGATCTCATATCTTCATATTGTTATTCTCATGAGTCTTTTAAAATAATGTTTAATTGATATAATATTATAAATAAAACATTTTCTAAAACAAGTGTTTTCCAAGGATTAAATTCATATTATTTTTATCTTCAGATCCAAGACATAATTTTATATAATATATAATCTTAGCATAATTCTTTATAACTAAAATTCATATATAGTTTTTATATATCATAATGCTAGAGTTATATATATATTAACGATCGGAGCAAAATCTAAATTATACTTAACGCTGTGCTATAGTCAAGGCGATCTCAACAAAAACAATTAATGGATCGAGTAATCTATTAGTAGTTCCATCTCAGTTTAAAGTACATATACGGGCTATGCATTTTAGCCTAAATGCAGGATCAGTCTAGGAGGATGAGTAATATCCCCATGTTATTCTAAACGCGCGCCTACAAACGATAGCAGCGATAACTTTAATCGTCTACGGAGTTACATCCACGTCCAACTAGTTGTGAGCTCGCTTAATGCTCGAAAGACCTAGTTCGACTTGTATCCCGGAGGATTTACGGCGCCAATCCTATTTTAGTAAAACGATAAAATATCAAATATTTCGTTTGACTTCCTAGTACGCGCGAAAGAATTTTTGAGAGAAACATCACCGCGACGTACATCGTCCTGTAATCTTATCAAAGACCCACGCTTTCTGAAGAATTCGTCTCTTAAAGCTGTTGTTCGAAATTCTTTCGTTCAATGTAATCAGAGTAAAGGCAATATAACGTAATACGCCACTCATCCGAAGCGTGAATAGAAACTGCGTTTATAGATCATGCTTCGTGACCCGCTGCAAAGCGTTCGCATTATTAAATTCCTTATCTATATTAATCGCCACTTGTGAGGTAGATTGCACGTATGCATTTTCGCATAATATAAGAGCAGCTAAATTAATGCAGTGATTAATTATCTTTCGAATTATTATTTTGTTTCAAAATTTATTATTATTTTTATATGCATCTACTGTCAAAATTATTTTTCGATTTATTTTTTTCAGATTTATTTTCTATATAAAAGTACATTATTTATATTGCTGAGATAGAGGAAAGATTTAAAGTATTATAAATATATAGTACGATTGCAAAATTAAAATATTCTATAATTTAGTAAATTATATAAAATCCTTCACTAGTATTCACCATTGGTTGTACATTAATAATTGTGAAAAAATTGTTTTCCTCTTATTTTCCATCTTTATTTGTAATTAATGCTAGGTGCAACATTGCAATTCAGGAAAACATTTGTTTGTTTTTGCGAATAGGATGTAAAGTGGAAGAAACCGTTTTCACAGATTTATAGCGCGTATTGTAGACGGCGACGCAATGACTGGCGTCAACGATCGATAAACAGAAATGTGATGTCACAAATGCGCCATAAAATTAATTGAAAGACACTTTGGAAAACTTTTAATTGATAGAAATTTTGAAAATTAATTATCAGAACAATGAACAATATTGCAATAGTTTGGACAAAATTGACTTATTAATAAATCGTGCATATTTCTCGCACTAAAAATTGATAGTACGCTTTAGTGTATAATAATATTTTTTTTTTAAATAAAATAAAATCTTCAAGATTTGTTATATCTCTGTTACACTTCAATTATTTTTTAAAAAGCCATATTACATTAAAGCGTATTATCTGTTTTTGAATACAGAAATGTACATGATTTATTGATATAAAATTTTAAAGATTTGATATATATCTCTATCACACTTTAAATATTTTTTTTTTAGAAACAAACAACAATAATGAAAATTATACGCTTATATAAATATAAAAATGTTTTCTAGATATTTAGGGAAAAAGATAGTATAATTATTTGTATTTTATCAGTTACCTAATCAAATTCTTCAATTTAAATGGTACATGAATTAATATACATAATTATAATTAAAATAAGGATGTCAATTTGGAAACATGTGTAATTAATTTGTAACAATTAAATATTTCTTTTTTGATGTTTGTATATAAATATATACAGGTATGCATAAATCTTGTTCAACAAAACGTAATACTTCGGTTTCAATAAATTTATAAATTAACAAAAGAGAACTTTGCTTAAAAGATATTAAAATCAAGATACTTCACGATTATATTACAAATTTGAATCATAGTTTATTAGACATAATAACTTCGCAAGAAGCATTGTTTTAGGTGTTCCCTTTCGCTATCTCAAACTATTATAACTGGAAATAATATCTTTGACAAATAGGAGTTAAGAATACTATTAACTGAAAGTGTTTGAATAAAGGACAAAGACATGATGTAGAACGAAGAACATGAATCCAGATATCAAAATAGAGTTTATAAAGTGCAGTAACAGATGTGAAATCTAAATGGTTGTAGAAAAGTTTAAAATTTTTTCTCGGTGGATATTTATAAAAAAAAAAATACATACCCGTCGTTGCATTCTCTCAAAGAAATATAATGAATATTGGGACACTGCTTTACGGCAGAATTTGTTGCTCCCATTGAAAAAATTTAACGTATTTAATTTGGACTTTCTGAAGGCAGACTGACAAATAAGTTAAATTCGTGTACCATTTAAAAGTCAAAAAGTTATCTTGGAAATGAAAATAAATCGTCTTGTATCATGTTCTCGGTCATTTGTCGGTATACATATAGTTATTGATTAAATGTAAACAAAATCAGTACATGATAATGATAAGTAAATCAAATGTAAATATAAATACTAGAAAATATCAAAAGGTTATAGGTAAAAATTATATCATAGTTTAGATAAAACGAACTTATCTTATCTCCATCTTTTTTTAAAAAACTAAGTTTAAAACTTGGGAACGATAAATAGCAAGTGTCATTAGACAAAATTTTTTATAATTTTAAAATTGCAAAGAAAACTTTTTTTAAGAGCAAAGCACCACAACATTTTGGAGCGAAAGATCGATTATCCTTGGCGAGACGCTTAATTGCAAAGGAAATTATAAAGTCTAAAGCTCCCATTGAAAGAATTT